TTGAGAGCCGCGGTGCATGCTGCTTGGATCCCCTCTGTCGTCTCAAAATGCTTGCCTTTCATCGACCTTTTCAGGTGAGGAAACAAAAAAAGCCCGGGGAGGGCACATCTGGGCTGTAGGGCGGCTGCGGAAGCATTGAGATGCCGGCCTTGGTCAGGTAGCTGTTCACAAAAAAGGCGGTGTGAGCCGGGGCGTTGACGTGGTGCAACTTCCAGTCGGCTGCGATGCCTTGTCGGACCCGACTGACCCTTCGTCTGGGTCTCCTGAGCACTTCCACATAAAACTTGGCGTTGACGGTTTGTCCAGGAGGAACAAATTCATGGTGCACGATGCCTTTGATGTCACAAAAGACAATGAGCATCGTTTTCACTTTGGATTTGTTCATTCTTCCCTTTTTTGGGCGAGGAGACGCCGTCGTGTGCCACTCGGAAAATTGCCTCTTTGTCTCGGGATCATACTCAAAGATCCACGACTCGTCACCTGTGATTACGTTATTCAAAAATTGGGGGTCACTTTCACATATGTTCAAATTTTCTTGGAACACTTCCACTCGCCGCAATTTCTGGTCGTCAGTGAGCACTTGTGGGACCATATTCGCCCACACCTTGCGCATGTTCAAATGCTGTGTCACAATGTCGTGAACCACAGATTTTGGTAAATTTAACATCTGGGCAATTAAACGAATACTTAGTCGACGGTCTGAGTTAAAAACTTTGCGCACACGAGTCACATTATCGGTGTTTGTCGAAGTCGAAGGTCTTCCAGTACGGTCTTCATCAGCCACCTCTTCCTGGCCCTCCAAAAAGGCCTGGTGCCACCAAAACACACCACTTCTTGCTAAAGCAACACCTGGGTAAGCCTGCTTGATCATATCAAACGTCTCTGTCGCAGATTTACCGAGTTTCCCACAGAATTTAATCGCGTACCTCTGCTCTAACGAACGCTGCATTTTCGGCTTGCACCACTCACAGAAACACGTCGCGCGAGAATGCCTGTCCTGACTCTCCAAGTGCTCGGAGTCAATTGACCAGCCGCTCATTCGTTAGCTAGGAACGCGTTCTACCGAGTACAGTCATGGCGGATGAAAATGAGTCCTATTACTTTCCGGACAAACCCTGTATGTCTGTCAGGCCAGGTAACACAGAGACCAGACAATGTTAAGGGAAAAAGGAAGAAAGGGAGAGATGGAAGTGGGAGTGCAAAGACGAAAAAGAGAATCTCTTCGGACAGGGAGCGGTTTGGCATTAATGAAATCACTTGGCAAATTTTTTGTATGGCCCAAAAAGAGATTCTTGTAAAGGTTTTATCTCCATTTTGGTAGTTCCAAATTTTACTTGCAAACATGCTCGCCTGTGTAGTTCAGCGACCACCGCAACAAAGGGTTGCTGTGCGATTATGCATGACTATAGCGTCGCTGCATCTGTTTCTCAATGTAAAGGATATCGGGGTCCCCTTAAAGGGTTTCGTTAGAAGCTGCACAAGGGTAAGTCATTGTTGGTCTTATAACCACCTTATTGGGCTGAATCTTGTTGATCAGACGTTTACACAATAGTGGGTAAAGTTGCCGAAACGAATTTGGATTGGTCATACTTTGATCCATAATGACACCGAAATAGCGGAGCTTTCCCATGGAAAACGAACTCTATTCGTTGCGGCAGTATGTCTTTTCGTACAATAGCGTTTTCGAATAGTTAATGTTAGTCATCCACCGATCCGTCCACAATAATGCTTCCTCCACCGCACTTAGAAGCCTGTCGTGAACTTAGGTCATAAGAGCACGCTTGGTCCAATACTGCAGTATTGTCAGCATAAAGCTAGTCGTCACAGTTGCTGAGGCTAGGGTCGTCATGGATGTACAGTTAGTAAAGGATTGGTTCAAGAACCGAACCCCGAGGGCCGCCGGCTTTGATGAGCGATGTTGTCGACATAACATTGTCAACTTCGACCAGAAATTTTCTTCGTGCAAGGAAGGACTTCAGTAGTTTTAGAAGCCACACCTTGACAAATGCCTCTGAATCATCCAATAGCAAGATACCAGTAATATCATTGAGGGCAAATCATTCCACCAGCCTTACTGCCTGTAACTCCGTGCTATGCTCTGACCTAAAGCCATATTGCACGTTAGGAATCACAAGGTAATCTGACGAGAAATTCTCAGGGTGACATACGAGACCCTTCCCACTTCAGTTGGCCCAACTATTGAAATCTTAGTTTTTTTCTTATCAAACACAAACAATAAAAATGTAGCAGGGTGTTATAGGTTTAAAATATTAACAATGAATATTTTGATAATCTATAGTAGAAAACGCCAACTTTATCACTCCCTAATCAAATTTGCAGCATAAAAATAACACATGTTGCAATTACAGCATACCATCCTATTTTCATTTCTATGCAAAATAAGTCTATAACGCATAGGTGGCTGTGAAAAATAAAAGCCATCACAATTGCTCTTATTAATCACAGCTGTCAGAATACGTTTAAAACAGTTTTGGGTAGTTAAGGTTTTCAAAATGGGTAGAGGAAAGGGTATTAGTGAGAAAATTTAGTTACTGATAATTAAATTATTTAATACTGTGAAATAAAACTCAGAAATTGCAACTTTGTTAGACTTATCGCGGTACATTGTGAGAAATACTGTCAGAAGATATAACGTAACTGGTTCAGTTAATATTAAGCCACGATATGTGAAAAAAGACCGAAGAGCATTAAGAAGAATAATCGTGAAAAACAGGCGTGCCAATTATTTACAATTAAGTGCTCTATGGAGTGACGCTGTTGGAAGGAGAATTTCGAGGTCCACAACTCATAGAGAGGCCCACAAACGGGGATTTAGCACTTGCAAGTTAAGTTTTCTTATAAAAAAAGTGAAACAAAAACCCTAAAGTTTGTTGACTGTCTGAAGATAAAAGTGAAATTTCCAGCATCCATTATGGTCTGGGGCAGCATGTCATCAAAAGGAGTAGGAAAACTTCATTTTATTGATGGAAATGTGGATACAAACAAACATTTGGCAATTTTAGAAGAATCGCTTTTACCAGTGATGTTTGACATCCGGCCAAGATTTTGTATTTCAGCTAGATGGTGCAGCGTGCCATACCGCAAAAAAGGCTATAAAATGGATGGAAGAAAATAATGTACCACTTTTGAAATGGGTTTCTAGCAGTCCAGATCTGTCACCTATTGAAACTGTGTGGCACGAGATGAAGAAGGTTCTACGACAACATCCTGCTCGTACAATCACCGAACTGAGACAAAAGCTTCAAGAAATAAGGGATTGTTTTACACCAAATTTTTGCCAATACTTGGTTAACACTACGACCCAAAGAATTTCAGCCGTAATAAAAAATAAAGGTGATGTTACCCAATGGTAATCTTTCAACTGGTTCTTTGTTAACTTCGCGCATTTATTCGCACATTGTTTATTTGTTCAGATGTTCTATTAGTTATAGGTCTAAGTGATTTCAAATATGTATTTTTTACGACTAGAGTGTATCTAAAATGTTTTTGAGAAAATAGATTGTTTTAGAAGTAAATAGTTTCGTCATGTTTAGTTTATAAAGGCATATTTTGGTACAAATCTTGAAGTGGGCCAACTGAAGTGGGAAGTGGTTCGTATAATCACCTTTTTAGTCAACTTTGATAGAGCTGACAACAAAGCATACTTTGGTTATTGATTGTTAACAGAGGATCGTTTAATCACCAATATCAAATTCAGTGGATATTATCTCTTGGTGAAAAACTAGTTTTGAAAGCCGGCTGATGGAACACAGGGTATAACATCGTTGCATGTCCTAGACAACAGTTAATCCCAATTTTGCTTCCGCTAGGGGCTCCTAATGTCGTTGAAGGTCGATCTGTCAGAAATTGATGGGAAAAAGAGAGTTGTGAAAAATAGTTCATCACATTTCGATGTACATGACGTAAACAGGTGATCAGCAAATGACATTTTTTTCTTTATAACCTCAGATAAGCCGCCAGCCTAACTAGCGCCATCTACTTCTAGCCTTCTAAACTACTCCCCTCCGCTGTTGTGCCACAAATCCTGTTCTTAGTTTGACAGAGAACATATTCATTTAGTAGAAATTCTCATCAGAGGAAACATACAATAGAAAGGTGAACGTAAGTTATATGTGTAAGATAAAGACAGCAAAAGTGTAGGGCGTAAAAGTAAGAAGAATATACGAGTATAAACGTGAAACCGGAAGTTCCCACTTTCCATTATAAATATTTAGGGATAAACTCTACGCGTCAGGCTAGTCGAAGACAGATCGAAACATCTTGTCTCGAAACAAATTATCTTGAAATGAAATATTTCAATTGGCTGACCGGTCGCAGTCAGGCTGAAACATTTTGTCTTGTAACTTGCGCCTCTGCACACAGGTAGAGACGGTTCTAGGTTGAAACAACTTTCTGTGCGCGGTTATCTTTTATTATTAATTTTGCGGCTACTACATTTTCCCGCCAGGTTCTTCCAAACAGGTTACGTTAATAGAATCGGTGACAAGCATGTGACACGAGAAAATCTAAATGCTGGGATGTCTGGAGACGTTTTGCCAGGAAACGTAGTTCAGCTGGTCATTGTTTCGGTCAATGTGCGGTGTCTCCTATGCAGTGATAGGCGTTTACGCTTGTCTACGTCTCGATGTATACAATGCGTATACAATGAATACAATGTATACATTGCGTATACAATGTATACTTATAATGATGAGTACAATGTACAGAATAGCATAAGTGAGGTTAGTTTTATTAGCAAACGTCAGAAAGTTGGTAAACAGTGAACCGAAAATTTAAAAAATGGTTGAACGCTTCGAGAACAAAGAAATCGATGAACTAGGGTTCGTCTGTTGTTCTTAATTTATTTAAAGCTGTATCTTTGTATTGTACGTATATAATATGTATTGAATATGTTTTTCAGAATTTGTAAACTGCTTCCACAGTCAAACCAATAATGCAGTGCTGCAGAATTTGTATCTATCTTGAACTTTCAGTTCCACCTAAAATCGGAGAACCATTAGGATCGGTCTGGAATTGGTCCCAAACAGATTCGACAGAAATGTGTATTTGAGCGTAGAAAACAAGTTACAGTTGTGTTCTGTGGTCTTCATCACTGCTGTGCCGGGCAACGTAGTGTGCGGCGCATTCTTCCTACACAAGTGTGGCCGCTTGTCCCCTCTGTCTCTCTCTTCCTCGTACACATAGGAATCTAGAAGGGAAAGGGACTTTTGTAGCACTATATGCAGGTAGTTGAACGATGATTTGCTATTGTATACATTATATACATTTTATACACTGTATACGTGAATATCGAGACGTATATATTCATCATTGTATATATACGTACATGGCGTATACAATGCTCCCATGAACGCATTGTTTACGGTTCTGCAACACGGTGAAATGTTTCTCAGCGTTTCGAGACAAAATGTTTCAGTCGATCTGCGGCCAGCCTCCCTGTAATTTTTCGTTCTGTATAATTGCTAGCTTCACTACTGTTTCTTAATAACGATAAACAGATTGATGTAAAGCTTGGAAGAACAACTTTCATTTTACTTTTAAGTATGATCAATTTGCTTTCAAATTTTGAGATACTAATGCTACAACCACTACGTATAGTTTTTCGTTGAACGTAGAGACTTGTCTTCACGAACGTCGCTAATGTCAGTGCTTTAGAAAACAACTCTTTAATGTGACGTTCGATAATACATTTGCAAGTAGCAAAAATTATCTAATTGAGCTCATCCAGCTAGGTTGAAGCAGACGCAACATTTCATCAAAAAACTATGTAATTTTCTAAGGTATCGTCTGTCCATAGCTATGCATCATAAAAGGAGCTATATTGCTGGACCCTTTTATGTTAGCAGGATACACTCAATACGCCTATGGCCTATGGCCACCCAGAGAAGCTTTTCAGATTTCAGGCTGACTCCCTCTCTCGCCGCAAGAAATGCGTCATAATTGATGAGTTTTTCTACTCAGCACACAACGTCAATGCGGGTGTTCCCCAGGGATCGGTCTTGATTCCGACACTGTTCCTATTACATATCATCGACCTTCTTTCCTGTACAATCAATCCGATCTACAGCTTTTCTGATGACAGCGCTCTACATGCAGGCATTCGGAGTGTCAGAACGATTTCTGCCTGTGAGCTGGTGAGAAGATCTTGAGGTTAATGCTGCTTGGGGACGCAACAATCTGATACAGCTTAATGCTTCTCAAAGCACAGTACTGTACCTTGACTAACAAGAAGCGCCCTAGCACTCATCCAGTTTTGATGGATGATCAAGTTCCACCAAAGAGCCGTTCATTTCGGCTGGTCGTAATACAGATCACTGAGGACTTGAGCTGGTACGAACACGACTAGTCAATCGTGGCAGCTTTTGGGAAAAAAGTTATTCTTTTGGTTTAGGGCTAAGAAGTACTTTTTCTCACATAACCTCATCACTCTAGGGCCCAGATAACACCTAGCCTCGAACACTGCTCACATGATTGGGGTGCTGTCGCCTGGACTAGATTATCCATGTTCGATGCTGTTTAGAGAATGGCTGATCGACTGATCGATGAACCTTCTCTAACAGGTAGTCTCTAGATCTTTTTGCACCGTCGAGCCGGCAGCAATCTGGCTCTCTTCTATCTCTATATTTGCTCCTCAGTAATGCCCAGCCTGCCTCAAATTTCGTACATCTATAACTGGCCGTATGACCGCTCTTTGTTTCTGGGGTGCCAAAATTGTGGAACAATCTGCCTGAGGAGGCTTTTACCAGTTCTACTAATCATAGGCAGTTCAAAAATCGGATTAACAAGGTATTTTTTAGCACCTTATAGCAGCCGTGATGCCCTGGTATTTAGACTTTTGTGTATGCGTCTGATTCGATATAAAAAATACAAAGTCAATCCGTTTCCGAAAAATGTGACGTGAGCTATCAAAGTCGAACGGACAAGTTCACACACCGCCTACTATAGACACGAAGCAGTTCCGGACTTCCGGACATACGTTTGTGTGCAGTATTTGGATACTCTAACATACTGAATCCTTGCCCCCAACTTCCCTGGCAATGTAGGAAAACAAAAAAGGAAGCATAGGGATAAAACTCACGAAGTCCTCTTCCACTAAGATTCATATTAGTATAGCAGACAAGTTTATTTGGTATATAATAAGCATTGATATAGCGACTTACAGAATTCGAATTTGGCAGAACGTATGACTTACAAAAGGCAGCAGTGACATGTGAGTGACGTATTTAAATCTCAAATGACTCCTTGCATTATTCTAAGCAGAAAAATTTACTATAACTCATACCCGAAAATCAATCGTTTTCGAGAAAAGTGAGTCGTAAATAATTATATTTTCTCAAACTTTTGGCAGCGCTTCACTGCAGCCGCAATATGAGCGCTCGACGACCGCAACTGATTGATCGAATTCTTTACGTTTGTATGATATTTTTGTTGAAAATATGCCTTGAATTATTGAATACTTTTACGCAATTTTTTGTGGTTAATATTTTTTATTTAATAATGCTTTCAGTACAGTACATTTACTTAAAAAAATGACAGAACTTACCGGTACGTGGCCATACACACCACCAATTCCCACGATTATCAGTCACTTATTTGAAACAATGCGATGTATTGATACATTTTACGCTATTAAGCATATGAATTTAAATTACTAAGGTGCAAAATTAATTTATTTCATGACTAAAAAGAAATAATTTCAGCATTCTTTGCTTCGAAACGGTTGATTTTCGGACATAGGTTATAATGAACTTTTTCGCTTAGAATAATGCATGGAATCACCTCTTAGGCCCGTATCGTCAGTCGTCCCTTCAAAAATTTCTAGACTACACTTGTCCCGTGTCAGCGTCAGCGCTCTCCTATTGTGAAGATATGTTTTCTTTTTAAATTGTAGGAAATGTCGGGCTGATTAAACATGATATAACTCAAAAGCAAGCGCAATTTGATGCAAATAGATGTTTGTGACATAACCTCAAAATAGAGTTCTGACACGGAGAAGTAGAAAACTATGACAATCAAGGAGGCCATAAAGGCGCCCTACAATTGTAGGGACGACTGACGATACGGGCCTTAAAGTTACGAATATTATGTCCCTAACACCCTGAATATGTAATTCAAATAGTTTGCTACCAGCCACCTATTCGGCAGGTTTTGAGTAATAAATAATTATAAGATAGTTCTAGGTCTTACAAATACTCGTATATTATTTAAGATATATGTGTCTCCTTATGTTGTTTAATAGGCTGGACAAACTGCAGAGAGATCAAAAAGAATTTTACTTTTTAACCGTAGGCGCGATTCTTGTTTTCTAAAATTGCACCCAGCAATACCATGAGTAAATAATGCCTGCGGCTTTTGCCATTTGTTAATGGACATGTCCAGAGGCGCAGCGTCAACGTCAATTTGCTCTTATTTCCCCAACCGGATTCGGTCAACCGTGCGTCTCCTGCAAAAAGGTCCTGGCCATAAATCAGCCAGGTAAATCGTCCAAAATAACAAATGGCTCTAATCAATTCTCTTAGTTTACCCAATTCGGAAGGGGGATCGCGTGACACCAGGCAGTTTAATTTCTATCCAGTGCGCAGGAAGATGCGACAGGTTGCTAGCCCAATTACGAATTTTTAACGAAATTACCGCTGTGGATGTCCTGTTCTGCTCATTAGGAGTTGATTTTTTGAAAGACGAACTAAGCAGTACCCTCCCGAGCTGACATGCGATATGGTCACAGGTAATTCCACATATTATAGAGGTGGTCACGAGATGGATGTTTTTTGTTTAATATACATCATACTACAACCGAAAAAATAATTACCTACTAGGGTAAAAGGAATGTCAACAAAATTCCATAACTTCCTATGATAAGGTGAACGATTTCCGAAGTAACGGTGATTTTCATTTAGCCTGACTTGTTTCTGATAACATATTTTTTTGGGTATTATGATCTCCATAAATTCATATTATTCATTTCAGTTGAATAGGCATGTCGGTCTCGATCGTTATCTCGGAAACGACACCACCGATCTCGGAGAAATTTATATGACTTATGGTCATATTTCCGAAAATTGGTGAAGTGGCCGCAGATCTATGAGCAAAAAACAAAAAGCCTCCTTTGTATACTACTCGTATTTTTAATCTTCAAAATCGATCTTTCACGATTTTCAAATTTTGGAGATTTTGAGGCATAGCAATGAACCTTTTGCAGTTGCTGCAGCTTGAAAAAGTTTTCAAATGTTCCTCTTCAGGGCCTTGTATCAGGTTGGCTAATATGTAATGAGCGCTAGAAGACCTGGGTAGAATCGAAAGACTTCAATGAAGGGACATATAAAGAGTGAGTGATCATGGTGCACGCCAGTAATACTTCACCCGCCATTGCGGAGATGTACGAGAGATATATGCCAAAGGGCAGTCTCTAAGGCAAAGTGGTACTTCCATCGATCCTCAGAGATGACTATTCCTTCATAGAATAACCAAACTCTGGGTGTGCAAATAATCACAAGGCATTAATTGAAGAAAATCCTCGAAGCAGTACAGGTGATTTGGCTGCAGAGCTCAGGGGCTCTCAAAGCACAATAAAAAACCTTTGGCATGCCTTAGGGAAGCCGTACAAGTCTGGTAGTTGGATACCCAACCAGTTGAGCAAAGGTCAACTTAGTTATCGAGCAGATGTCTGAGTACATCTTTGACTATTTCGCCGTACATTTAACTGGCTAGACCATCCCGTTCGTAAAGAAGAAACGTGAGTTAATTATATTAACCATACACGCAATCGTCGGTGGCTGGATCGCAACCAATCAAGCAAATTTACACCAAAAAGAGTTCTTCATCCCGTGGGAAGGGGTGTATATGGTGTAACTCTAAGAAATTATTCAAAATAATACAACCTAATGCCACGATTACTGTCACTGTGTACTGTGGTCAACTTAAAAAACTAAAGCTTGAAAAACTATTTTTTCTGCTTGACAAAGTCCGACCTCATGTTGCTAAGGGCAGCCGACAAAAGCAACTGGAACTTAGCTGGAAGTAGTGCCACCTGCATCCGAAGGACTTAACCCAGTAGGTTTCAGTTTACTCACTCAGTCATCATTTACAGTAATTAATTATTATTTTATAAATAAATAGCATTTTGAAGTTGTTATTCAATAAAACTACTCAACTATATACATCCTACATAAGTCTACTAAAAATACTAGTTAAAGAACTCACCTTTATCACGAGAAGTTTCAAAAAACTAGATCATTTTAATTAATATCGCTGGGCGGCAAACGTATATAAGACAGTGACACATCCCTGGACATATTGGTGAGGCGAACAGCACAATCTGCACCATTTTCAGCCATTTTAAATTTACTACCAAAGGAAACTGTCAAGCTGTGTC